ACGAGATAATGCTATGAAAGTAACTTGCCTGGTGCACTTCAGTTATTGGTCTGGCCTTGCAGACAGCAAACGTTGCACAGCTTAGTCTTCTTGCCAGAGTAATAATGACATGGGTGTCAAAAATAATTTGGTTAACAAAACATAAAATCTCTTACATTCGTTTCATAATATCTCACATTTGTATTGTCTGTGTGTCCGTCCGTATGTTCACAGTACGTCACAGCCACTTTTTCCAAAACCTTAAGAAGAATAGGCTAGGTACTTACTAGGTAAGTATCAACAGTACCTAAATGGTGGGTACTTGGCCAGTAGCTAGATGTAGTTTGTGATCGGCATCTAGACACGCCGTAGCGTCTCAAGCCAAGTTCAAGAAACAGAAGTGTCGAGCCGCACCTTGTGTAACACGAACCATTTCGAACCACTTTTGACCCACTCATAAATCAAAAAACTATTTCACATACACGGCAAATTTGGCTCATATATTGAAACTTGCGAGATTACTATGTATTGTAAATTTCAACGACACAAGTAACATGTCATACCTCTTATAACATAAGATCATGTATTGTAGCGTAAGGTCTGTCTTGCCTAGTTTTGATATACTTATATGAATTATTTATTATTATATAGAAGCTAGCGATCGAACATAATAAATTTGTTTGAAGGCTTATGAAAACTCGCCAAATCAGACTTTAGGCTACAATACATGGTCTTATGTTATAAGAGATAGGATATGTTCTACAAATAGGTACTTGTAAATAAATTTCAGGACCCACCATTGAACTTGGCACCCATTTAGATCCCACTGCTTTTGTCGTTGAAGTCAATGAAACAATTAAACATTGAATTTATTTTTGCAAGTAGGCCATAAAACGGCACTTTTACGCGTCAATTTATATGTGAAAAACTAGATGAAGCCGGCATTTCCTATCTGACTACTCTGATAAGAAATGCCGAAACAAACTCAGAGGTCAGTCTCTTTTCAAGTCCAGACAATGTAAAAATAACGTAATGTGAGAGAACCGTGCAAGTTCATTCTGTAGTGGTCTTTTGAGGAACAAACCAAACCAGTTTAAGTGGACCCGTTCTGAAGACAGGCACGCAAGTGTCAGTTTGCAACCAGTATAGCTAGTGCTTTTTTTGTGAGAGGAAAATCAAGTGATTTCTCCCGCCCAGGGTCGGGCGGGAGGGAGTGTCAGACTCTAACTGACTAAAAACCCTCCTGTTCCTTCTCCTGCTCTGGGCCGAGGTCGCGGTGCCTCATTGCGCTTACCCCGCAACCCCGGCTGAGTATAGCTAGTGCTGCTGAGTTTTATGACGAACAATACCGATCAAAAGAACATTTGGGTGGGTCGCGCAAGTACTCAAACTGTCAGAACGCAGATAACTGGTAGTCAAAAAGTGCGGCAAGTCTCACACGGTCCTTACACTAACAATAATAGAAAATAATATAAATGTCAATAAATAATTTAAAAAAATAATGTCATATGAAATATAAAATGTCACAATAGATGATAATGTCATTGTTAAAAAATAATAATAAACGTAATGTCAAATTGTATACTAAAAGCACAACTTATGTTACAAACATGTCAACATGACCTGTGCAGACGTTACAGCGGCTCATTCCCAAGCCTGACTATCTTCTAAGTAGTCTTTTATTTTATAAAATGCTTTACAGTAAAGTAGTAGTAGTAGCCTTTATTACACTTTTAAATTTATTGAGGCTCAAATTTCGAATATCGCTAGGAATTTTATTGTAAAAGCGTATACATTGACATCTAAACGAACTACTTATTTTCTGAAGCCTGGAGGCAGGCACAACATATTTGTCTTTCCCCCTCGTGTTAATATTATGTATATCACTATGCTTCTTAAATAAGCTTGAATTACATTTTCATTAATATATTGAGAGGCAACTGTCATTATTTTGGATTCCTTCAATAATTATCGTAGCGAATGCCTCGGACTAAGATTATAGATTGATCGATTAGCCCTTTTCTGCAGAACAAAATCAATTAACAACCAAGGCATTTATCATAATATTGAACTTGGCTCCCATTTCACATCTATGTTTTTGATTTGATTAAGATTTTCACATAAAAGTAGAAAGAAAATGGCGGCGTTCCCCAAAGGCTAATAAATATTTGTTATGACTCAAATATGAAAAATAGAACATTGAATTAATTAAACATCTTTCTTCTTTCACAAGAACTCTTATATTGTGTTACGGAAACTCGTCAGACCCCTAATGCAAGTCAGAATATATCAAATAATTCACTCAAGTTGCTACTGAGATACCCTTCGATTCCCTCGACCAACAGTTGCCAACAGTTGCGTGCTTCCTGCGGGTGTAAAAAAAACATTAAAAAATAACATTTCATTTCGTTATGAGTAAGTCCCATTTGAACAGAAAGATAGCCTCTCACCCAACATACCTAGAATTGCTAATTGAAGCTGACACCTGGTACAGTTTACAAAACATTTGTGTCTGGGGCCACAATGGGCCGATTGAGTGTTTACGAGTAATTGCCACACAGGGCGGCGCGGCCACTCCGGCGCGCGCATGCGAGTATGCCACACTCGATGATTTATTTTACTCCATGCACTAATCAGTCCGTGGTTCGCTCGAGCGCCCGGTATACAGCCGGCATACATTGAAGTAACATAAGTACCTATATTTATCTATTGTTAGCTAAAAGTCAAAAAGTCAAAAATCATTTATTCCAATTAGACCCTTACAGGCACTTTTGAACGTCAAACAAAATTTTGAAGATATAGTGTCAGTCTGTCGGTCAGTCCTCTTCGTGAAGCTATTTGCTCGATCCAAAGTGTAGATTCCGATGGAGAAGAACGAGCAAGAAGGAGTTTCTTGCTATGGTTACTCTTTTTAAATCAGTTCACATACCGATTCCATTTACAAACAGTTGGTTCAATTATGTAAGAAAAGTGTAACACTAATAAGTATTTATTCAAATATAAAAAGAAACTTAAGGACAATAGACAGTCCGGAGCTGACCAGTCCCAACCGACGGCGTCTGTTCACGAACATGATACGTACACCAGCATCACCCAACTCAACCATATTATAGGGAATTAAGCGATCCAGCGCCCATGCCACCGCCAGTGTGACCTTTCAGTGAGCATGACAACTCCAAGCTGTTATAAGGACCGACATTCTGCTAGTCTAACCAATTGTAATAGGTTACAGGGCACTCACATTTACAAATTTATCAAGTTATAGTTATACAATATAATGCAATTTCAGTAAAATGGAGAAGTCCCGTTCAAGCAAAATCCACTGGAATGTTATTTATTTTGGTGTAGGTTTGCTATCCTGTGGAGCAGGACCAGCATGTCTCCAAGCATCTTTATCAACAATGTAATCATTCGGGGTGTAGTATGCTTTTCTACATAAAGCTTTCTCTACACATAATTTAAAATTTCTTTCATTTAATTGTTGTGTAGCTAGAGAGCTACCCTTTTCTTCGTGGGGAAAATCATTCAAAACACGTCTCGCCTTGGGCGGGGAGAAGAAGAGGAGCCTTCAGCCTTCCCTCTCCTACTCCAAGCTGAGGCCGTTGCGCTTGTCAGTAACCCCGGCTGAACATCAGCCCTATAGGGCCCCGTCTGGGGTGGCCTATTGGCTCTATGAGGCGCGCGCGGAACTCAATGAGCCGTACGCTCAGATCTGGTTCGGATGGAGCAACGAGTTACCCTCGCCGTCCGCAGATCCGCGTTTATGGTGGCCGGCGATCATATGTCGATCCCCGACGCCGCGTCGGAGTGTTGCCTAGTGTGGCGGCTGGAGTGTCAGTGACTCCCTCATGCGCTCCCCCTCCCAGTTCTTCTCGGTACGCATTATGGCCTCGACTAAGGCTGGGCCCGAGAGGGGGTCACCGCCGATCAATTCCCGGAGAAAACGGTGGGGCTAAGCCCATGCAGGCCACCGCGCATATGGCGTACCTCCACCTCGTCCTCCGAATGGTCCTCACAATGGCGACACCCGAACGTTTCGTCCCTCTGGATCCGAAACAGGTACCTACCGAAGCTGCCGTGTACTGTAAGCAACTGCGTCAGACGAAAAGTGAGGAAGCCATGGGATCTCTCAAGCCACTCTTCAAAGAGGGTTTGACCGCTGCTATAACAGCGTGCCCGGCCCTCGGTTGATAGACGCTGCTTACATTCTGCCGAGAGCACCATCTGTATCATTACCCACTAACGCCCCAGCCTCGCGTGGGTCCCTGTACAATTATATTATATTTTCCTAATTTGCCCATCTACTTGTCAATTTTCTTTCACACGAATTGGTAAAAAAGGTGTAGGCGTTGTTGAGTTATGTGCCAATCAACAGATTTTGCGATAAATGTTGATATTGTACATATTATATAGACAGGACAAGTTATTTATTAAGACATTGATTTTGCGTAAAGTTACACCTTTTAAACCCCAAAAAGGTGGACCGAGCTAAACAATTAGCGTATACGAATTGAAAACAAAATTGAGGTAGGTGCATACAATGTTACACTAATTTTACTTTTTCGCGAATATTTTATACATAATTATTATACATACTCATTATTGGAAAATAATTGTATTGAAATGTTTAGTAAATCGAGCTTTAACAGCAAGGAGAGCCTCCTGGGCAGCAGAGCGCGGCGAGCTCCAGGCGGCGCGCGCTGTTTATTTATACTGCAGGTGTCGCGGTCACTGTCAGGGTGCCGGCTCCCGGTGTATTTACGTCGCGCGAGTACTACGCGCCGATAGCACGCGTCGCGCCCGCCCACGCTCGCTCCGTCATTCATCTAATCGGATTATTTACATGCTTCTACCAATTATATTATTATTATGCAGATAAATATATTATTATTGCTAAGTGCAGTAGCGTCCCGAGACCGCAAATACCTAAACAGCCCGTAAATGCCATATGTGCGTCGTATCAAAGCCATGTAGGGCGCGCTGCCATACAATAGATACATGAGAATGAATATGTCCGGCAGGAGGCGAGCGTCGACAGCGCCGCGGACGAGGTGCGGCTGGACGAGGAGATGGAGCGCGTGGTGTGGGGCGACGCGGCGCCGCGCCTGCCCGCCGCCGCCGAGCCGCGCCGCGACAGCGCCGCGCCGCCGCCCTACTCCAGCGCGCGCGGGCCCGCCGCCGGTACTGCACGCGACCTACCTGCTTCTGCCAAGCAACACTCCTTGGGTTCGATTCCTAAGTCAGAAAAACTGTTATTGGGACTATTTCTATTTTCGCAAAAAGGGAAAGCAAGCCCCTATCTGTAGCAAAAATGACGATGAAATCATTTTTTATAAAAGTGTGCCTCGAAGTATGGATCAGTCTGGACAGGGGCAATTTTACGGTTCAAAGATAATAAACCAATTTTTGTTAATTATCTACTAATAATATTTGACGATACAATTAGGGTTGCCACCTTTTTTGCAGTTAATAAAGTATGTTGGTTATTATAGGTAAGAAAAAAAAGTACATGGGATCAACATAAAGTACAATTTATTTTTCTTTATTTTTATATTTCAAAACATATTTTTATTGCTTTTTGCATTTTGCATTAAATAAGTATCTCTACTAAAACATCTTTACAGTCTTTATTAAATTCAGAGACGCTTTGTTTTTGTCATCTCTTCATCTCACTGTTCATCACAGACTTTTCAAAATCTCAAAAAATCAATACATAAAAAATAAAGTATTTTCGTGTGCTTTATTGTTCTCATAAAGTATAGAGTACAATTATATGAAATAGAGTACAATACTTTATTATAAAGTACGGGTGGCAACCCTAGATACAATGGAGTTTGAAGAAAGTACCTGTCTCGTCGTAGTACTTGACTCATACAGTCAACTAAAACACATTATAGTAACTGCTAAGCTTTCGGCAGAATGAAAAGTGAGGGAATCTTCAAATTCCAAAAGACTTCAACATGGTCAACTCCTCTTTATTGTGTTTATGTTGATGGCCACTAACAAGGGTTTTATATAGATGGAGGGACATCCAGCAGCTCCGAGCTATCGCAGGCGCCAGTGAGCACCGCCTCCGAGCACCAGGTGAGTGTCTCCTCCGCGCCACCTCCGCGCCACCTCCGCGCCACCTCCGCGCCACCCCGCGGCCGCGCCTTGCTCCTCCGACTACGCTTCCCCGCACAGTACGGTACGTGTGCCGAAGGAGCGCGCTTCATCAGAATACTCGAGTTTTTGAGAGTGTATAAAGAAGTGCAGTCGGGGCAGCATGTGGCAGCGAGTGAGTGGCGCGGGGGCGGGCGGCGGCCGGTGGCAGCGGCGCGGTGCTAACGTGGCGTGTTGTGGTGTGCAGACGTCGGGAGGCGCGTGGTCGGGCTCGGGCTCCGGCGGCAGTCCGCGGGACGCCGACGAGCGACACGTGCAGTTCGACGGCGAGCGCGCCGAGCGGCCCGCCCTCGCCGACACCCTGGACGACGCCGACGAGGAGCGCCGCGCGCAGCGTAACATGTGAGTGTCCACTCATTTAGTATCTCATCTAGTGTGCTAGTGATGGAACTCGAGTTAATATATTATAATATACGGTATTCATTGTTGCTGAACCCCAACCGTTTGGATGAGAGACAGTACAGGTATTATTGCGTTGATCTGATTCCCAACAGATAGTACAAAGAAACGCTCGCTATAATGTATTCTGACGTAAACAAGTTCTCGATCAGTTTACGGATTTAGCAGATACTTGAACGCTGCACGTTGTTTATGTTTTGCGTGAGATAGCGAACAGATAGTAGGAGCAGATGTACGAACTGACTTATTGTGTCGGGGGACGGACAGCAAATATTAAAATTAGCCGCACGTGCAAGCGGCAGTGCGGCACGTGCACGGCTCCCGGCCGGGTGGGCCGGCAGCCGGCGCTGCCGAGCTGGTCTGCGAACACGGCGCGCGTTCACGGAAGTGACACCTGGGCTCGGTGATGAGACAAAAATAGTAGTTGGTCTCGTGACATTGGCAGCGCGCGCGGCGGCGGGCGGCGCAGCGGCGCTCAGTCCGCGCCGGCCGCCATGCCCGTCACGTACACGCGCGCCTCGCAGCTGGAGCACCAGCGGTGAGCCCCGTGTGCCCGGTTCACAGCCCGCCACTGTCCATACATTACCACATTTGTCCATTGTCTGCCATTGTGCGGGAATCAATCTACTTACCTTTCATCGTCATGGCACTTGTGGCTTCTGGCCAGAACACAAAATCCAATGTGTTGTTGGATATTTATTTCAAGGCAGTATTTTTATAACATTAGTCAAACTGTCAACAAATATACAGCAAACGCTATGCGCTTTTTAAAAGCCATTATTATAATCACATTTTTCAGTAACAGTTCGTATAGGTTTATAGTAGGTACTACATAGCGCCGATAAATTCTCGCTATACATTATACACGCCTACAGCCCTACATACATGACACAGCTAAATAACTTCGTCAAACGTAGAATCCTCATTTTGATGATTTGCCCCGTCAAAGGATAGCCTCACAGAATGCTGTCGTGAAACAATGTTAAGTCACTTCCTAAACCGCCATATTTTGTTAATGACTTCAAATAAAAAGCGCCAAGTACGAGTCGGACTCGCCATGAAGGGGCCCTTCTTAGTAGCAAGCAAGTAAAGTTCTTGTAAATTTGCTTGCAATTGCTGTTTACGATTAAAGATACTGAGTACTTACACCAAGGGCTAATACTATAAAGTTATTGTAAATGAATTATGTCGTGGTCGTGCTATACAATACTTAGGTACTTACTCTTTCAGTTTGTCCAGCTCATCTACATACAATGTAGTACAGCCACTTTGGAAGACTCTCACGAGCAAAACAATCAGTTTAGGTAATCAATGTTAGTTTTGAAGATAAACAAAATATTATGCTTAGTCTCTTATTATGGGCAATTGGGCACCCTCAAAATTAATGTTTTTTGTGCGTAAAAGTGAAAGTGTTATTGCGGGTTACATAATACACCCGCTAAACATGTTTCAACATTACAATTATTTAAAATTGTTATATTTCCGAAAAAGTGGATGATAAGGACGGACAGGCAGACACAAACATCACGAATCCATAAAACGTAGTAATTAGCAAGTATTTGCAAGCACTGTTGGTGTTCACACCATTACTTCCATCAGCCCGCAGCCTGGCCAGGGTGGCCAGCAGTAACAGCCCCGCGTGGCACACGAGTAGCAACCCTCGCGCCTTCTTTGTGCGCCCATAGATATACCAGCACCCAGAGAGTTCACTTTATTCACTTGTACCTTGAGCTGCCTATCCCGTGCCCATGATTGTAATAAAATGAGAAATACCCTTCGATTGCCCTAATGTTCTCATTTCTGCAACAGTGTCTTGTGATCCACGCAGTGGAAAGCCTTTGACAGATCACAAAATAGTCCAATAGCTTCCTGTGACTTTTTCTTAATTAGAGTTACACCGGTGTCAGTTGAGCATCGTCCCATGGTTTTTTTTGTGAGGGTAAAATCATCAAATGACTTCTCCCGCCCAAGGCCGGGCAGGAGGGAGTGTCAGACTCTTACTGACTAAAAACCCTCCTGTTCCTTCTCCTGCTCTGTGCCGAGGTCGCGGTACCTCATTGCGCTTACCCCGCAACCCCGGCTGAACATCAGCCCTTTAGGGTTCCGTCTGTGGTGGTCGAATGGCTCTTTGAGGCGCGCGCGGAATGCTACGCGCCGTACGCTCGGGCCTGGTTCTGGTCGGGCGGCGAGCTGCCCTTACTCGCCGACCGCAGGATCGTCCCATGGTGGACCCGTGTTATTGTTCATGAAAGATGGAATGCGTGTTACACTAGCTTCTAAGGAAGCATTAGCTTTTCAAAGACATGAAATAGTGACCGACGTATAATTATGGGTTCTGTGTTATGGCCTATTTAAACAGCGGACCACTGTGCTTCATCAAATTGGGAAAATTCTCTGATCTACACAGTAATAAGGCGAGAGTGCAGTTTAAAGAGGCGAAATATAGATTCTAACCTAGACACTATCACGGAAATTGCACATAGATCCTTTGTCAACGTAACTTTAACTATTACTGATTGGGAGGCTTGTTCCGAAATTGGAAATAAGAACGACACTCTTTGACATTTCTTTTGAGGAGGTCGATAGAAAGTGTCGGACATGATTCTGTCGGACGGCTTGCAGCCGTTCAGAGCTCAGGGTGAAAATTATTGTCTTAATTTCATTCAAATGCGGGTGTGGGTAGCGCCAATTGCTTGCCATCGTGTGATCCGGAAGTTCAGCAACCGAACTTCCACAAATTGAACAAAAACACATTCCTTATACATTGCAAACCGTTCAACAAACGACTAATACCTCCAATCACCGTGACAGTAATCAATGTTAACTCTACCATTCTATAATTTGTGATTTAGGTATTTGTAATAATTGTCCAATCGCACCTATACATATACAATGTATGACTCGGCACTGAGGGAGGTCTGCCACCTGCCACCTCCCTCAGTGCCGAGCCAGGCCAGGAGGTACACAGACCTAAGTACTGCAGTACATGTGATGGCGCGGCCGGCTCCTGGTACCGCGGCCATGACCTTGTGTGTCACGCCCAACCCGTCCCCGACGCGTTGTCTCGTGCAATCACGATCACGATACATCAAAAATATTACAATAACAACAGTTAGATTTGCTTTATAATTATTTTTTCATTTCATGGAATAACGACCTGTGACCGTGACTCAATTGGGGCTGCAATAAATTAGCATCCAAACGGAAGGCTTGATTTGTCGAAACGTGGACCTATCGCCGGTGATTAATAGGCAAGCGTGAACGTAAAGTATAGTTTGGAAGAAATTTCGCCGAGTGGCCGGACGGCTTTGTATATGTTACCTACAAACTGTTCATGTGTTATTTTACATATATTACATAACTTAATCACTTTATATATAACTTAACCCAAAGTTAGTACTTGTACATCTTCAGTCTCTTACAATTTAATAAATTTCTTGCTTGCTTCTTGCATCGGCAACCTTACCTTGGTAGAGGTAGAGAAATGCTCAAGGCATTAAGTCTACCTCATGTATCCTTTTAGACCCCTCTTTGAGGAGTGGCTTGGGAGACGCCACGGCGTCCTCACCTTCCGTCTGACGCAGGTGCTTACCGGGCACGGCAGCTTCGGTAGGTTCCTGTTTCGGATTCAGCGGGAGGAAACGCCCGAGTGTCGTCATTGTGAGGACCACCTAGAGGATACGGTGGAGCATACGGTAGCGGTATGCCCTGCCTGGGCTGAGCGCCGCCGTATCCTCAGGGAAGTGATCGGCGGCGGCGACCTCTCGCGCCCGGCCTTAGTCGAGGCCATGGTGCAGAGTGAGAGGAACTGGGACGCCGTCTCCTCCTTTTGTGAAGCAGTCATGCTCGCAAAGAGAGAGGCGGCCCGCGTGAGGGAGCAATCCTCCTCCTCACGCCCCAGCAGCCGCAACTGGCGACACTACGGGCGTCGGGGATCGAGGGACGATCTCCGGCCACCGTAAGCACGGGCCTGCGGTCGGCGATTAAGGGCAGCTCGCCGCCCGACCAGAACCAGGCCCGAGCGTACGGCGCGTAGCGTTCCGCGCGCGCCTCAAAGAGCCAATAGACCACCACAGGCGGGGCCCTAAAGGGCTGATGTTCAGCCGGGGTTGCGGGGTAAGCGCAATGAGGTACCGCGACCTCGGCACAGAGCAGGAGAAGGAACAGGGGGGTTTTTAGTCAGTAAGAGTCTGACACTCCCTCCTGCCCGGCCCTGGGCGGGAGAAGTCATTTGATGATTTTCCCCTCACAAAAAAAAAAAAATGTATCCTTTTTTGTGAATAAATCTTTAAATACTTAAAAAACTTTGTCGCAGTTGAGCCGTAAAAAGGCGACTAGAATGCGTCAAATTGTACTTTAGCTTAAGAAATACTTTAAATGCAGACAAAATACGCACGAAAATCAAGTATTTTTAAAACGATTATATTCAAAACGTAACATTGTCGCTTCTCCGTTGTTGCGATGCGAGTGTCCATGGGCGGCGCTAATTGCTTTCCACCTAGTCATCCATCTGCTCGTTCATCTCGTCACATAAAAAACCAGCCGAGAGCGTATCGGTCTACCACGTGTAGGGTTCCGTAGCTTTCCTTCTGTCACAATAAGTGAGTAAATCTTAAAACAGCCATTCAACGTAAGTATCAAAAGTAGGTACAGCGCCATCTCTTAGGGAATTAGGTAACTAAACAACACAAACTAGACGGGTTGGTTATTTTGGATTTCGTAAGCCGATTTTAATAAGTTATTCGTTTTTTATTGGAAAGAAGATACGTTAACAATATAATAATAAAATAACAAACTTCACCTTGTACTGGGACCGGTCTATCATCACTGACAGGACTATTGTGGCCAATAAGCCTGATATTGTGGTGGTGGACCGGAAGGAGAGGCGTGCAATGATTGTTGACATAGCCGTCCCACATGACGAGAACCTTGTGAAAGCCGAGAAAGATAAACTGATCAAGTATATCGACTTGGCTCGCGAGGTTGTCGACATGTGGGAAGTGGATTCAGCTATCATTGTACCGCTAGTCGTGTCAGCCAATGGCTTAATAGTCAAGAGCCTCGACCAACATCTTAGGAGGCTCTCGTTAGGTGGCTGGATCAAGGGCTTGATTCAGAAAGTGGTACTCCTGGACACGGCTCGTATTGTCAGGAGGTTCCTTTTTCTGGAGCCCTGACCGCCGGTAGCTTGGACCCAGTTCCCGATGCCGGTGGGACACTATTTTTTATATTTTTAAATGTTTTTTATTATTTATTTTTAAGAAATATTTAAAAATGTAATTTATATGTTTATATGCTGAAAAAAAATAACAAAAATGCTTATACTGATAAATTACAAAATTAGTTCCATTATTATTCAGCACACACAATAACAGACACAAATTAATAAATGAAAATAATATTGAAATTAATATTTATATATTTCCAAAACTGTTCAACCTGTCGAGTTCAAAATAATGTTCATACAACTTTCTGTCCCGCAAAGCGAAACTTTGGAATGATCTTCCGGCTTCGGTATTCCCGAACCGATTGGACCTACAAACCTTCAAGGAACGAGCGTACGCCTTCTTAAAAGGCCGGCAACCTCTGTGGCTTCTCTGGTGTTGCAGGAGTCCATGGGCGGCGCCGATCGCTTACCATCAGGTGATTTTTGAATACCTATCCAACAATATATGTATATGTTAAGGTTGAAATGAAAAAACCCTTATAAAATATTTCATTATGTTACCTCTTTGTCGGCGCGAGTGATATAGATATTGGTGCCAAATTTCAGCTGTCTGATGCTAACGGTCACTGAGATTATCCGCGGACGGACAGACAGACAGACATAAAATGGCTCCTAGTTTACTGCGGAACCTTAAAAGCAGTAATTACACAATATGTTGTCAACGTATCGATCTTATCCAAAGAGTAGATTGAGACCCGCCACTCATTACGGCCACGGCCCTTAATGTACCTACTACTTGATGTCGCTCTAATATATTCAAATGATCGCTTCGGGGGGGAAATGCAGGAGCATGCCACATATTTTTCTTGCGTCACTTGCGTCTTCCTACAAACACAATGAACATATTACAACAACTCCATTTACTATGTAGGAGCGTAGGGCGACATAGCAAGCATTTTTTACAACAAAATCGTAGCCCGTCGGCCAGAGGCGATAGTGAACGATCGCACGCACTCACTTCAGTGTCGTGTTTGGTGTGTGCGATATTCACCGTGATTAAAGGGACGAAAAAATCATCGCTTTTTTGTATTTCGTAGTTTCGTACGAATCAAGTCGGCTACTGCAGTCGAAAGCCGCCATCAGAATGCCCGATATAAATATAAATAAATAGATAACCAACGACCTACACAATATATTGGTGTACTACGAGTATAAGTACTAAGTACCTACTTATTTTAGATTAAAACCAAACTTCCTGACGCGTAGTACCTATGAAAGTCTGTTTTTTCATTGTATGCAGGCTCCGACGTTTTACAGTTATCAGACAAACAAAAATGACAAGTCGTACTTTCCAAATTATGGGCATTGGGTTGTTATCCACGAAAATCAGGGATGTATGAACCTGCGACAATCATTTTCCCCCGAATGGTTACTATTGCTATATAATATTATTAAAGAACGCTTCTATTGAGATGTTATCGGCTCAAAATATGATGGCCGATATTATTACGAGTACTTTTCAGAATAACGTTTTACTTAAAAATGTTAAGATTTGGAGCAACAAGATTCGAGTTGATCATCTCCTGAGCCCCTAGGAAAACAAGTTTAGTATAAGTACTGTGTCACCACATAATACTATATGAACAATACCTGAACGTATGGCTTCGAATGAACCTAAATGGCATTTCAAAGTGTCGAACTTTCCAGAGAATTTATTTCTAAATACTTACGTAAACTTTGTTTGCTGGTTGCGTCTGTTACTCGAACCTTGATGGTCCACAAGTATATGAGTGCCTGGTGTGAGGTGCGAGCGTCGTGCGTGGCGAATGCGACAGATAGCCCTCCCAGTACGCAGCAATTAGTCCAGGGTCGCGCCATTTGCCTAATATCTTTTATTTATGGCCATTTTTGTCTTTTGTCGCTGCTTACGTGATATACACAAGTACTTATTGTCGCTTCATTAGTTCCTACCCATTTATTGAAACACAATAGGTTTGCTTATTGACAAAATCGAACTAGCAAGGTCGTAGACAGTACACACAGTAGGTACATATCGACACTAGTGTAACGCAAGCACAAGTTTGCAAGCTCTGGCGTTTGGTGCAATATTTATGTCCCGGAACTGCAACACGATGAGGTTAAATGACAACCGATGGATCCTTGTTCCACCAATATAAATATGTTCTGTAATATTTATTATTCTTATTTCGCCTAGCTTATATAAAAATTCATAAAAAGGTATCATTGATATTTCGATAGGTTTACTTCATTTGCCTTTTAATAGGTAATTTACCTTATTCAGTTTTAAAGGTAGTTTTATTATAAGCACCAAAGCCCAAAATCAATGTGCACTATTCACAAAGCATTCTAATTAATTACAACAAACATTTCAAATGTGCGTTAACATGAAATAAATGATTTATACACTATCTTTCGACCGCGGCTTCACATGTGTACAAAAGTAAAGTACTCCGACATTTCAAAAACAGCAGCGTATACCGCGATAATTTAAGCCTATAGCACTCAGTAAAGTTGTAGCTATCTATCAGTGAAAGAATTTAGGAAATCCGATTGGCGGTTCCAAAGACTTTCCCCTACATAGTATGAGCATCAGATATGGTGTGTAGGCACACGCAGTAACAGGACACTTTCGAGAGTAATGTCAATGGTTTTGGTTATCAAACGCCATGTCCTGAACCTAACAGATTGGGTAATGTTTGTGTAACATCTTGTCTATGTAATTTCTTTTGATTTATGGAGTGGAGATCACGTCTAGGCAATCGTACGCCCGCCAGCTACGTGGACTGATGATACCCGTAGGGCTGGCAGTGGTTGGATGAGAAGAGATAACATCGAGTTCAATTACATGCAATTAGAGATGCCTGTGTTCAGCAATGCTGTGGATGGAAACTGATGACGATGATTAAGCCTAGAAAGTTAAACAGAATTAAATAACCCCTGGCGTGTTATACTTCGTTGGATAGTCGATAAACGTTAATATTATTAAGTATGTAAATGTTATCAGCAAGACAGGCGGGATTTTTTTATGAATAGGTGCGATGACACGTTGCCGGATGAGAAACATATGGAGTCACCAATGGACACCCGCAACACCAAAGGTGTTACGAGTGCGTTGCCAGCCCTTCGGGGATTAGGGCTTCGGATATTTAAGGATTGGTGACGGATGGGGAGAGGCGCAGGATTGGACCTCCAGTGACCTTACTCACACGTCGAAACACAACTCTGTGGTTGTTTCACGGCAGTTCTCTGTGAGGCCGTGGTCATAACTCTGGGCGCACCGACCCATTCATGCCGACGCTTGGCTCGCCCACACTTGGATATCGGTTATTAATTTTTATTATAATGCCATTTTTATGTTTCAATTAGTCACCCGCGCTTCTTAATTCGTTCTTTTGCGTATGTAACGTATGAGAACATTTATTTCATAAACAAAAACACTATTACCTACTATCACAATACTGTCTTAATTGACTCCTAAAATGATCACAAAACATAGCACCTGTAAGCCATGGTAAAGGGTAAGATCCAGAAACTACTGGCACCAAGGTACCCAGTGTCGTAACCTCGGTAATATTACCGTGACTTCCCTGCATTGCACGGCTAATACTAATGTCATTATCTGGTACGACGGCCATTAAGTTCGTGAATGCATCCTCTGTTGTAGCAAGCACCTGCACCCACACAAAACTCGCAAGTACTCCCTACAAGAGGGCGCGCGCGGCGGCGGCGAGCGGCGCGTCAGCATCGAGCCGGCCGAGGAGCCGCTGCCCGAGGCGGACGCCGAGCAGCTGCATGCGCACCGCAGCGACGACCCCCGCGCCCTCCGCCGCCACAAGATCCAGCCGCGGGTCGGTACCTCGCCTGCCTTGCCACGCCCTCGCTGCACGTTATACATTCTCTCTAACTATTTTTTCACTCTCAGGGCTCAACAGTTCACGTAGGCCGCAAAGATGGTGGTGATAAAGTACAAAATATACTGTCGGACGCCGCTTACAAGAAGATGTACGATCACAGTCCGCACTCGGTAAGCACACCAGTTCTTGACTCGCACCTCATTTCCCAAATTACCAAATCGAAATAAGTGCATTAGATACCTATGAAACCCTCATTCCTTGCTTTGGACCGTGTCTGCAGGTATTCGTGCAACTGGATGAGCTGCTGGCTACAGAGGACGGTGAAGCTGAGTGGAAGGAGACGGCGCGCTGGATCAAGTATGAAGAAGACGTTGAGGAAGGCTCAGCCCGTTGGGGCAAGCCGCACGTGGCCTCCCTGTCATTCCACTCGCTACTCAACCTACGGCGTTGCCTGGAGACCGGCGTCGTTCTGCTGGACCTGGACGAAAAGGATCTGCCTGGAGTCGCATACAGGTAGGTTGCGGAGGCCGGCGGGACACCGGGCAGGACTTGGCTGAGAGTGGCGGAGTAACGAGTGCGCTTGGCTCGCAGGGTCGTGGAGAGCATGGTGGCGGAGGGGCTGATTGAAGAGGACGACAAGCCCGTGGTGATGCGGTCGCTGCTGCTGCGGCACCGGCACGTGCACGATGACCGCTTCCGGTTCTCTATCAGCGGCAAAAAGCACTCCTCGTACACGAGCCTGCAGGTGAGCACAGCCCACAGCCACGCCCCACGAAATGTATTATGTATTGAAGCTTTGTTAGAGAGCAGGAGGCATAGAGGGCGGTAGACGACGCTACGCAAGCTGACCTTGAGCTATCGTCTTGGTGTAATTGTTTTTGTGGTCACACAACATGGCAAATCTTATCGTCCTCAAATACCGAAACGAAATATAGGAAAATGATAAGGAGACGAGATAATCTGTCGTGTCAGATAACGAGTCACGTTTATCGAACTTTAGTTATGATAATCCGACGTTTGGCATGTGCTGGAGTGTAGGTATGTTTGTGAAAACGTTGAAGGTTAATCCGAATGGAAGGTCGCAGGCGGTGACGTAGAGAGTACATGTGTCGTGCCCGCAGTCGCTGTGGCTGGACGAGGGCGCGCTGGCGACGGCGCGCGCGCGCTGCTCCGTCTGCAGCGCCACCGCCGCCTGCCGCCGCCACAGCACGCACCTCATCGTACGCCACCGAGTGCGCCCCCTCCGCCCATCCGCTCATTCCACCCATGACCTGTATGTCTGGCCCGCCCGCCGCCAGCATACAGCTCTACTCTCACATTGCCCGTCACGTATCCTTGAGTGGTTGACATTTAGCTGTTCACCGTTTGATTGCGTGTGTTGCTATCGCCATCATCGCTAGTCGATTGCCCGCTTCCACTTGTGTACACTGGCTGTAGCTGAGTGGTCCCAAACATACGAACAAAACTAGCAAATACAGCTTAGGACGGGTCTCTGCTTGATGGTCGCCGGAGGTCGAGCTGCACCAGCTGTAGCTGTAGCGCCCGCGACACTATCACACACGGAAACACAGTACTTGCTAGGTACACTTATCTAATGGTCGCGGCCATGTGTCTGATTTCAACAAAACAATGTGACACTGAAGAGCGTTACATCAAGTACCGTAAACAAGTATTATCACAGAGCCGTAGTGGTTTTGGTCACTTTACTAATTTGTTATTTACGATTATAAGATAAGCAATAACTACTGTCCATTTTATAATAGGTGATTAAAAATATGTAACTAGACGCCACACGGTACACGCGTCATACAAGACACATTGAAGTATTTATGAATGTATGGGTACAGCGCACACACACACACACTACTGGTAGACGGACGTGTGTCGTATTGAAGCGCTGCCAAACGCCTGGAACTTGCAGATAATGCGGCAGCGGGCTTGGCACGCATGGCAATACGGCAGCGTGCAGCCAGCGCGGCTCACGTCCAGTGCTCCAGTAGCGCCGCAGCACGAGTACTCGAGCACTCAGCACACGCTCTCATTACCCGCTAGATGCATCCTCTCATTAGTATGCAACTACTCATTCCTTGTAGACTTGTCTAGTGTGGCCACAGTGTTTGTTTTATACTTGACAGAACGGTAGAGGCGGGGCCCGCAACAACATTATATATCAACGTTTCATTAGTTAGAGCCCAAGGAAGCGCAGGGACATTTAATGAATGGTGACATTTATTACACGTTGATAATAACATTTCAACAATCAATATTGCAGTATTTTTAACATTTCAATTTGAAACTACCTATGTTTTCATGGCATTCTCTTTTATTAATTAATTATCGTGTTCCATTTTGGAGCCTAATCGGCTCCATTTCCAATGTTATGTTTGCCAGTACTGTGACATGCATCAGGCCATATCTCGTTGATAATGTATTTTCAATTTTAATGTTTGTGGTTGGCAGCACCTTTAAATTAAGTAAACAAGGGATCAGCTTAAAGTCCATCATAGGTCAAAGCACACTCATTACGCATTAAGTTATGCAGACTAGGCGTGCTCGAATAACATAGAATAGTCATTTATTTCTAAGTATATGGTATATACATCGAGATCTTAATATAAAATATAGTTTGACATACACTACCGTCGTCGGTGTACAAATATTGACTTTATCTGAATAAAATAACATTTTGGTATTAAATTACTTATAATGTTTTCGGCTTACTCACGTAATAATTTGAAGAGATACTCGACTAGTTTCAAGCCATGCTAGAGGCCCATATTCATGAGCAGCATTCCGTGACACGCGACGCGGCGACTGTCGCGCTGCGCATAGGCTTGAAACTAGTCGAGTATCTCGTCAAATTATTACGTGAGTAAGCCGAAAGCATTATAATTAATTTAGAATGGCTCACAAAAGTTATAATAAAAATGTTGGTATTAAATTCTAAGCAATAATTATGTATTAGGAAATTCTATATGTATTGACAATCGAGTGCTGCATCCCAGCGAGATGTCTGCAGTGAGGAGTACGTGAGCAATGCGTAGGTAACTAGGTACGGTAGGTAGTAGGGCGGATACATGAGTTATTTATAATTTGGTATTATCGGCGACACCAGATAGGATCATTACTATAACTTAACGCGTACGTGCTTAGCTATTAAAGAACTACCGGTCAAGTGCGAGTCAGACTTGCGCACGAAGGGTTCTGGAGCGCGGTATAAAAGGCTTCTGGCGACTTGTATCGACCAATAGCTGGACTGTAGCTGTGTATACATATATAATAATTGTTATTGTTATATACGTAGTGTATATACGCACAGTACGCGTGCGTTCATTCCAAACTCATATTAGTTAACACGTCTGTCCATGTACAAAACGTGAGGAAGTCGGCTCTCAGAAGTTGAGCCAACTGTGAATATTTCATCTTAAGCAAATTGTTCCACGTAATAGAAGCGCGCCGTGTGCCTGTAACGTGCTTACATCGACAATGCACTACGTTGCAGCTCTTCGACGGTCAAGGTGCACAGCTGTTCACACAGAATCTTATTTATACCTACTTGAATGTGTTTATTTTGATTGTTTTCATTTTAATATTATTTTTGTTTTACTTTATAGACCAGTATCACTTGCAGTTTCATTTAGAACACTTTGCAACATCATCTCGCAACGTTTATCATTGCTGGCCACACTAAATAGCAGACACATTGATTAGAAGCATTTTGTTTGGTTATGTTGAATTAGTTCGAGTGGTAGTTTGGCAGAACACGAAATGTGAATCCATGCAACAAATGTAGTGTCGCGTTCGCAGAACCTGTCGGACCCGCGGCGGCGGCGCAGCTCGTACGCGCTGCCGCTGGAGCGCGCCGAGGTGCGCAAGAAGTCGTCGGCGGGCGGGCTGGAGCTGCGCGAGGTCGAGTACCTGGCGGGCGTGGACGCGGCCGCCGGCTCGCAGGACGAGTTGCGGCGCCCGCACCACGACTCCATCCTGAAGCGCATCCCTGGCGATGCCGAGGCCACCACCGTGCTAGTGGGCGCCGTGGGCTTCCTCGAGCAGCCCACGATCGCGTTTGTGCGCCTCGCACAAGGCATCCTCATGCCATCTATTACGGAGGTGCCCGTCCCAGTGAGGTTCATGTTCATTCTCTTGGGACCTAGTGGCGCCGACCTCGACTATCACGAGGTGGGTCGATCTATCTCCACTCTTATGTCCAATCCGGCGTTCCACTCCATTGCGTACAAAGCGGACGACCGACGCGAACTGCTATCTGCCATCAATGAGTTCTTGGACGATTCCATCGTGCTGCCGCCCGGAGACTGGGAGCGCCAGGCACTTTTGCCCTTCGAAGAATTACGCGCCAAGAGCGAAATGATCCGACGCCGTAAGCGCGATGCCCTGGAGCGCAAGCGTGCGGCCGGCGAAGCGCCCACGCCACTCGACGAGAAGAAGGCGCTATTAGCAGCTGAGACCGGCGGCTTGCCCACCAAGGAGCCGGATGATCCGCTAGTAAGGACAGGCCGCTTATTCGGAGGTCAGAATAATCCTATTTCTATATGAGTATGATATCAATTTACAGTTAGTTTAACGAATAAGTTTTCGTTATTTTTATAGTTTGTCCCAAAAATTTCGTTATTTTATAGTTTGCAAACATATAATAAAGCTACAAAAACTACCTAGTCTAGCCATAAATACTGTAACAAATAAAAAAAATCTATTGCAAATAACATTTATTACTTTTACAGTATGTAAGTTTAATACATAAATGTAAAACAATTTAAAACATAAAAAGCTTATTCGAAGTGGTCTCCATTGGCTGCAATACAGTCCTTTAACACATTCAGTGCCCCCGACGCGTATGTGCGTTTCCTCGCACGCACATACGCGTCGGGGGCACTGAATGTGTTAAACGTTGAGGCCAGTTATCAATAGAAGCACGCACTCTTTCCATGGGAAAATTCTTCACTGCCAATCGTATGGATTGTTTTAGGGAGTCCAAATTATCATGACGTTTAGAGCAAGCCCTACTCTCTAAAACTGACCATAAATCATAATCCAGCGGATTAAGATCGGGACTAGACGACGGCCGGTCTGATGAAGTCGGAAACGTTCGTTTCCAACCAAGACTGCGTGGACCGAGCTTTATGACCCGGCGAGTCTTGCTGGAAGGACCATTGTTGGCTATTGAACATGGTGTTGTTAAGGGGCTTAACTATCTTCTCAAGAATGGTATTTTGATACAATTGTGCCGATGTCTTGATGCCTTTTTCGCAAAAGTATGGCTCAGTCACTCCTTCATAGCTAACACCCCACCAAACCATCACTGAAGTCGGATAATGCCCACGTTGCACTCTGTCGACTAATTGAGAAGCTTCCTTAGAGCTTTGAGCATAAATACGGTCATTTTGTTTGTTAAAATGTTGCTCAATTGTAAAAAATTTCTAATCCGTAAACAAAATTTTTCTGTGACCTCCCTTTGCGTACCGTTTCAGTAGTTGTTTAGATTTTATCACCCTGTTGGGGTTTTCTAGTCGTTGAGAGATACCCCGGTAGTTGTAGGAAAGTAGTAAGTTCACACCAAACCACTGTTATGTTTAATAGTTTAATTACGTTTAAGTTACGTATGTTTAGTTATCTGAGCCGCACTTGATGCAACGTTATTATTGATCGACCCGCTCGTGGCTGAGTTTTAGTGACGACTAAATTTATATTATAATAGAATTAATAAAGTACGTTTAGCGTAATTCATTACGTGCGCAAAACGTACTTTTGCTGTATGAGCATTATTGGCTCGTACATGCTCCCGAGGGAAGATTGTACGCACTCAGATTACCAAACTAGAGTTACAAGTTAAATAATATACATGTTAATAAGCAATCAAAACAATAAGCAATACATAATTCTTAATTAATTAATCATAGTTTAAATCTTGTTCCAATTGCTGGTAGCTGTGACCGGTTGTTTTCCGAACGTCCACCTCGTAGTTTGGCGTAGGCAGGAATCTCCTTCAGTTCTATATCTTCTGTCCTTTCTTGAGCCTTGTTGGCTACAGTAGCGCTCTGCTTACGCGCCTGAAGATATCTTCTTATTCGCCAAACAATTATCGCGGCGACGATTCCTCCCACCAGCACAGAGCTTATAGCGTAGTTGCCGATGTCGTGGACACTTAGGCCGTCAGGTAGGCTCTCTCTTCCTTTTTGTGCAGTTATCTGATCATCTAATAATTTGTGATCATTAGATAAGTTTAATTTTGGTAGCACAATCTTTGTGTTTCTTAATGTACTCCACATATCATTTGGTGAGTCAATAGTAGGTACCTCCAGGTTTATTCTAATGTTGGTACTGCTACTAAAAACATTATGTGAATAAATTGTGTTGTCTTTGTGCTGAAGTATGCAGTCCTGACCTAGGGCAAGGAGCCCTGCTTTTGTTACACTCGTTGTAGTAATTCGATTTTCGCAGACGATGCGAATCGTGCACTCATTGATGCAATTATACAGCCATATGTTAGGTCTCTGTAATTTTATCCATTGGTCAGCGCATTGTTGTGATACCCAATCACATGTTACGTTATTAACATTTTGATTGAGTATTTTAGCTTCGCAGGATGCTGTTGCTCCATGCAAGTTGTTGATAGTTGTCGAGGCGTGGCAGATATGATTGTCCGCGCTCATTGTGGTACATTGCTGAAGATCAACCTCTTCCATCTGTATGTAGGTGCTCTTTACGAAGTTGACTCCAATATATTGTGTTACTGTCTGAATAACCTGACACTGTGCAGCTGTTTCCCATCTAGGAATAGCTATATTGCGATACAGGGTGTACTCGTCATCGCTAAGTAACGGAATATGTAATTCGAAGAGTAGGTACTGTTCGGTGAGCCGGGCTTTAACATAAATAATTTTATAAATATTTTTTATGTTCGAATTATTGGTATCTCTGATAGGTAATGTTAATCTTTTAGGTATGATACCGGCAATGTAATTTAGTTGTTGAGATAGCTGCTCCGGTGGAAATAATTTCATGTCGAGATGGCCTCTGTAGATATCTGTCAATGCACTTAAGAGCATTTCTTGGTTTCTTCTCAGTACTGAGATAAGTAAACTAGCTGTTAATGCCCCAGCGTTGACATCATTCATTGTTTTCATTATTTGAAATCTGTTTTCTATCACAGCCATATTATCTTTCGTTTCGTTCATGAATTGTTGAATTACTTCCAGTTGCGTCTTTACAAAGTCTTCATTTTTCTTGATGACGTTGTTTTCTGCCTCGATAATCAGTGTCTGATTTCGTATCAGTTGTAATAAATATTGTTCGTTTGTTTTAATTTTGTCTATGTCCTGAGCGTATTTTTCGGCGAAATCGCTGTCAAGGACACCAAACAAGGCTCGTGCAAGATTTCCTACGCCGTTGACGTAGCCACGTCGCCTCCGCTGCTGATGTTGAGACCGCAACAATATGTTAAACTCTTTCAGCTGGTTCATTTCGAACTTGAGTTGTTGTAATGTAGAGTGACATGGTTCATTAGGCATGGTGTCACATAGTTGACCTAAATGATTTACGAACTCCTCAACTCTTGTAGTACTTTGCCAGAATGTGGTCAGGTTATAGTATACCAGAAGTTTCCATTCATCGTGGATGAGTTGCATGTTTCCGACGGGGTCAAAGTACACTGGTTGGTTTTCAGTTAACGGAGTTATTTTAAAATGTTGCAGGGGTGCTGCTCGTCCACTTGATAGCGTTGTAAATGCTATTAGTAACATCATAAGCAGGCTGTTCACTCCTTTTCGACTTTTATTAGTGCCTTTCTTTGGCTCATCGTGGTTCGTTTCTGGACTCATTTTTTGTGTATCAGCGCTTTCACGTACCTCGTTTACAGGTAGCGGGGCGAGTTTAGTTATGGGTCTTTTAAGTACCCCATTTTGAGTCTTCAGCGTTACTACTCGTACTAAGTTGTCGCTGCCTGGGTGCAGTTCCACTACTCGTCCCATAGCCCATCTGCTTGGGGGTAGATTACTTTCCTTGACGAGAACTAGCTGCCCCATCTGTATGTTTTCTTTAGTTTGTTGCCATTTGTTTCGGTTTTGCAGTGAATGCAGGTATTCTTTCGACCAGCGATCCCAAAAGTGTCGACGCATGAGTTCAATGAGTTTCCATTTGTTTCTAATGTCTATTGTTTTGCTTTCCTCAGGTTCATTGAGTGGTAGTGTTAATGTTGGACTCCCGGTGAGAAAATGACCAGGGGTGAGATATTCCAGATCTTCAATGTCTTCTGTTAATGGACACAGTGGCCGGCTGTTCATGCACGCTTCGATTTGTGTGAGAAGCGTTGCAAATTGTTCGTAGGTAAGCTTTTGTTCTCCGATCACCCTTTTCAGGTGCGCTTTCATGGAACGTACAGCGGCTTCCCACAAGCCACCTGCTGATGGCCAGGATGGAGCGTTGAAATGCCACTCTATTTGAAGGTCGTTGATCTCCTTAAAGAACTCTGACGATTGTAATGTTTTAAATAGTTGGAACTCTTCTTTTAAGACTCTGGCGGCTCCGACAAAATTGGTTCCATTATCCGAGTAAATATGTTTTGGGGTGCCTCTGCGAGCGCACATTCTTCTTAGTGCTGCGATGAAAGTTTCCGTTGATAGGTCCGAAACAAGTTCTATATGTACAGCTTTTGTACACATACATATGAATATGGCTATGTAGCCTTTGCAGGTTTTTATCCCGCGGCCTTTGTTTATCTTCACGTCCACATGGCCTGTAAAGTCGACGCCGGTGTGCGAAAACGGCCTCGATGGAGTGATCCTTTCTTTAGGAAGGTTTCCCATCAACTGTTCATTTCGAGTTGATGCGTATCGACGACATCGAATACATTGTCGAAGTATTTTCTTGACGGTTCGATTACCGCTGATTATCCAGTAAGTGTTTCTAGTGTTTGCAAGCGTTAGTCTTGCTCCACCGTGTAGAGTTCGTTGATGCGCCTTTTCAACAATGAGTTGGGTTAGTCTTCCCTCTCCTGGTAAAAGAATAGGATGTTTCGTTTCAATTGGTAAGTTTGACTGATTCAGGCGTCCTCCAACACGTAGAATTCCATTTGAGTCCAAGAATGGATTAAGTTTTAAAATGGTGCTTCTGTTGATAAGTTTTTCACTTTTGCTTAGAGAATTTATTTCATTTTCGAAATACTCTCGTTGCACTGATTTAATAATTATAAATAGTGCGTTGTTTTGTTCGTGCAAGTTCAGTTCATGGCACTCAGTTGACCTTCTTTTGTTTCGTAATGCATCAGCAAAACGTATCACCAAAGCAAGTATTCTTGTAATACGATTTATGTTGCTATGTCGTTCAAGTAATGCATTTATTAATTCATTTTTGATCGACTTGGGTTCCGTACTATTAACCGTATAACAATTTTTCAGGGAGCCCTCGTTTGTGCTATAGCTTTGTTTAAAGTCAAGGGTTTGAATTTCTTGCTCCTTAAGCCATTTTGGGCCTTCCCACCACAGGGAATAGTTGACCAGCTTAGATGGTGGAAGT